CGCGCCTGGCTTTTTACCTGCCTCCTCGCACACCTGGGCTCAGGAGCCTCGTCCTTCCACTAGGGGGCCAGCGGCTCCACCTGGGCCATCCCAGGCTCTCCCCACCTCCGCCCTTTAGGCGGTAAGAGCCGGTTCCTGCCCCTCTGGCATGAACCTGGGCTCTGCCCCCTCGTGTGGCGACCCTGCCGGGAAAGGGGGCTTTGGTGGCCCCCCAGGCAATGCTGCCGCTCAGCATGTTTTCATGGTGTGCCCGGCACCACACTGAGAGCATGAGAGCATTACAGGTACATCTTTTTGTAAAAATGTTTTTAACGTTTATTTTTGAGAGAGAAAGAGAGACAGAGAGTGAGCCGTCAGCATGGAGCCCGACGCGGGGCTCGAGCCCACGAACCGTGAGATCGTGACCTGAGCTGAAGTCGGACGCCCCACCGACTGAGCCCCCCAGGTGCCCCCGCGTGCATCTTGTTCGGCCTCCAGACAGCCTTCGGAGATGGGCGTTACTGTTTTGCCCAGCCGGCTGACGAGAAGCTTAGAGGAGGTGATGTAACAACTCACCCAGAGGATCTTTCCTGACTGCAGGACCCATGAAAGGGTCTGTTGGTGGCAGAGGCCAGGCGGGGCTGGTGGTCTCCCGCGGCCTCCAGGCTGCAGAATCTGAGAACTCTGACTGCCACAAAACCGGAATCATGCGATGTCCCCCATGTGACAACATCGGGGCCAAACCCGTGGGGAGACGTGCATTTGGGGGAACCTATCTTCGATATAAATCTGAAACGTGTGACAAGGCGTGCCGCGAGACGAGAGCTCTAGCCCTCGGGAAGCGTGTCCCCGAGCAGCCCTGATGAATGTGACCCCAGTGATGGCCAAGAACTCAGGGTCTCATGTTTCAACCTGACGGTGCCCTCCTGGGGATCCGGCCTGTCCCCTGGGTTACTGTCCCCCCCCCCCCCCGCCTGCCACTCGGGGCTCAGAAGCAGCCAGCAGTGCTCCCTCTCGGCCCAGACCCCTTTGCTGTGGAATTCACGTTATTGATTTGGAAGCCATGATTCGTGGCAGCGTCCCAACAGCCCCCGTTTGCCGAGCGCACGTCAGCAGGCCGGGCTCCGGTGCAGCGCGAGGGGGTGGGGGCGGGGAAGCCCGTCCTCACGTGAGGTGGGGTGGCGATTCAAGCCTCACTGTCACGGCGGCGATTCAGGCAACAAGCTCTGCCGGGGCTGGGGTCGGGATCTACACCGCTCCTCGGGAGGAGGTGCCACCTGGGCCCAGGCCTGAAAGGCAGGAAGAAGGCAGCCACACAGGGTTCTGGAGGGAGAGCATTCCAGCGCATCAGAGCAGTGGGGACTAAGGCACTCAGGTGGGACAGTGTCCTGTGATCACCACCTCGTTCCCCGGGGCCAAGGAGTCCCTCCCCACCACTCCCAGCCCGGGTGAGAGAATGGCCAGGGCACTCTCGGGCCCCGGGGCCAGCATCTCACCCTGAGGGACCCAGCAGTGGTTAGTCTGCACCTGGAGGTAATTCTCCCGGGGGTTGATTGGCAAGAGGGTAGTGGGGAAGCTGGGGTGGTGGGGGGGGGAGCAAAACAAATCTCCCAAGCCCCTCCACACCTGTGCCTGCATGGGTGCCCTGGCGGGAGGGACACAGGCGGGGCTGAGAAGGGATGCCCGCGGCAGCCTCCCGGCTCACTGAATCCCATTACGGGCACACGGGAGCCCCAGCACCCAAGGGACGTGCCTCCTGCTGGTCACGGAGAGCCTTCTTGCTTCCCTTACAAGTGTACTTTCTCACCTCTTGACAAAACACCTCCGTCTCGTGGGATTTCCAAAGTCAGCGAGCCACAGAGGGCTAACCTGGCGCGTGGTGAGCATCTAAACCCTTCCCTCCATCTTCCGGCTCCACGAGAAGGGAACGGAGCGGTCAGCGTCACGGAAGGTGCTTTTGTCCTTTGTTCCCTTAACCTTGGTCCCCCGGAGGGCGGTGAGTCCACTCTGCCTCTGGCTCGTCCTGCCCAGCAGAGGGTTTGGGGGCCGTGCCCCTGGCCATTTTCATTACTGCTCCCCTTTCAGGGATTCCCTCACCCCATTGTCAACTGTGTGTTCAGCACACTTCTCCTCCCATACCTTGCCTGCCAAGGTCCCAGGGAGAGCCAGGTGCTGTGAGGTGGCAGCACGGGGCTGGCCGCATCACCAGCTGCTTCCGTGGGCGATTAATCTGTCAGCAGCAGGGAGGGACCGTGAGCTCTGCCGCTCTCCTCCGTCGGCCTTTGATGGCTGCCCTTATCAGGCCGCAGGCCAGGGGGGCAGCCAGGGAGGGCGTCGTCCCCCTCTGTCCACCCCCAGACCGTGGAGAGCAGGAAACAGGAGTCCAGGACAGATATCAAAGGCCAGAAGTTCTCCACATCACGGAGAGAAGCAAGACCCACCTTGCCCCTGAATGTGTCCCTAAGATGAGGCTGGGAGGCCTCCTGCTTTTAATGCCAGGGACCCGCTGGGGGTCTGCAGGCAGAAAGAAGATCACAGCCGAGAGCGTGTTGCTCTGGAGCTGGGAGGTGCACGTCCACTATTTCCCATCTGAGCCCTGCTCTCTCCGGCCCCTTGCTTAGCACCTGGAATAGCCCCTTCCCGCCCGTCCTGAGTGAATCACAGCTCCACCACTTGAAACCTCCACTCCAGTTGGAAGCATTTCCAAGCGTCATGTCCTCTCCTGACAGTGTCCCAAGGAGGGAGATAAAAAAGAGACCTCTGTTTGAATGTGTCTCCCTTACGTAAGGGGTGGGGGGAGCATAACCCAGAAGCAGCCTTCTTATGTCTTGTTGGCCATAATTGGGTCAAATGGCTGCCCTAAACATCAGAAGGATAGGTGGAGAGAGGGAGGAAATGGGGAGGGAAGAAGAATCGGTGGAGGGAAGGAGGGAAGAAGGGAAGGAGGGAGGGAGGAAGGAAAAGCTGGATGAGTGGATGGAAGGGAAGACAGGATGAGTGGATTGAGTGATAGATGAGTACATGGAAAAATGGGAGGATAAAGGATGGAGGGATGGAGGGATGGAGGAAGGGATCGATGGAGTTCTTTTCCTTAGTTGCTTTTCATATATGCTTCGCCGTGAGTAGATTGGGACTTTTATGGGAACGGAGACCAAGAACGTGGCAAATGGGAAGCCTGGGAACCTACAGTTCTGGTCTTGACAAAACTGTCAGAAACACAGAAAAGTAATGTCCATACCTGCTCTGCCTTCCCATTTCCGTGGGTGGCCCTAGGGTCCAACCAGTTTCCCTCTCAGACATTGGGGATGGCTGGTGGGAGAAAATGTGGACCTCCATGAAAATGGGTCAGTAAGAAATATCAATTTTTATATTGCTTACGTAAAGTTTGCTTTTTACTTGGCCTTCCAAAATTGTATAAGTCAAGCATCCTACAGATGAAGCATCTCATTCAGCCGTGGGATAAGATACAGAATCAGAAGGCAGAAAAGAGAAAGTAAATATTAGATTAAATAAGATATAGGAAACACGGGAGGCGTGGGTACCGCCATTCGCCTAAACCTTTCCAGCCAGGATAGTTAGTCTGAACCCATTAATCCCTGAATATCAGCTCCTTGAAGATTGATTCATGCTTTTTCGTTCATTTAATAGGATGTTGTTGAGCAAAAACAAAGTAGAAGATATGCTGACAGGTGCCAGGGATACAGTCATGAGGAAAATGGACAGGGACCCTGTCTTCTAGAGGATTCCATCCATGTTTCGGTCTAGACATGTCAACTGGCCGCTGCGATAGCATGTGGCCTTTAGAGTGGAGAGAGTTGGGAGGTGCCACCTTAACAAAGAGCTCCGGTAACATCACCAGGAGCAAGACATCACGTGCCCCCGATGAGATGCTCTGAGTAGGACCCGACATCCCTTCGGGGATACTCTCGCCAGGAACGGGTTACCTCAGTCTCATCACGGGCAGACCTCAGACAGGCCCAAGTGGAGTGACATTCTACGAAGCACACGACCGGCGCTCTTGAGAAATGCTGAGGTCCTGAAAGACAGGGTGGCCCAGCTCCCTGTGCTCTGGGCACAGCGCTCACATCGTGTTGCTAATGTCCCAGTGGCCAAGCCGGTGGGAAGGAAGAAATAGTGACTATTTATCGGACACGCTGGGGACAGCAGACAACAGGCACCAAGAGGGGCACAGAAGAGGGGACGGTGACCTCGACTGGAGGGACTAGGGAAGCTTTCAGAAGGGAGGCTACGCTTGAGCCTGACCTTGCAACATGAACCACAGTTCACCCAGGAAGGTCGAGTTCATGCGTATCATTCGTGCACCCGGTGCGGGGGAGCACAAGAAACCAGAGCGGGGACTGCCTGGTCACCAGGCTGCTGGGCTGTCAGATGGCAGGGGTGTGGCGGAGGGAGGGGACGAAAAATAGGAAGAGTAATGTAACGACAGGAAGGAAAGTAACACGAGAGGATGTGGGATGGCCGTGAGCACACAGAACTGTCCAGCTGGGTGGCCTCAGGCACGTTACTTAACCTCTCTGTGCCTTGAACTCTTCATCCATGAGGTGGGGGCGATGACCATCACCCCAGACGGTCTTCACGTTTTGGATTAAAACCAGTGGTGATTTGAAAAGCTGTTCCAGGAAGTCTTATCCATGATAAGCACTCAGTAAATTGTAGCGATTTACCCATCACTCACCACATGCCTGTTTTTGAAGGTGTTACGGGATTTGTGTTCACAACAACCGTAAACAGATACTTTTGTCCCATTGTAGGGACGGAAGGCTCAGGTTGACGAGGAAAATGCCTGCAGTTGAGAGCATTCTGTTGCAGTCTGCTGTCACCCTTGCCAAGAGGGAGCATTCAAAACACAGATCGCCCCCAGGCCGCCTCCCCGGCCCACAGATGTGCTGGGGCGACACGGCCGTGTTTATGCCCAGGAAAGGCCGTGCTGGGGTTTTTCTGTAAAACTGTTGTTTTCTTGAATGAGGGGATATGTGACCTAACTTGACTATCTTTGGCAGGAGGCAGAACATTCCAGTAAGGGAGTGACCCAGAAGGCAACGTCTCCATCCAGCCAAGGCCTTCGCTCTCGCCTCGCACGGGAAGCATGGCTGCAGACAGTCACGCGTTCAGAGAGGAGGCCCCTCTGGTGGGCACGGCGCGGGACGCGGCTCGGGCTTCCTGGAGCAGGTGTGCAGAGCGGGCCTCTTCTTTCCCGGTTCCGATCCCGGCCGGAATGCACTCGGGAGCACAGAGCAGCGGGAGCTCTCGGCGTTTATTTAAAGAAGCCGAAAGGTTAAAACCACCCAGTGGTCCGCAGAGCGGAAGGACAGGCCCTTTCAAGCAGCCTGGCCCCGTGCGACCCGGGCCGTGTGGGTCTTCCAGTTCGTCGGCACGCACACTCGTGTCTCCCGACTCCAGGCTACACGGCAGCGTGCTAGGCAATGAGGCGAAACCGGGAGCCAGCAGCCCGTGGGGCCGGCTCTGTGCTCACATCCCTCACACCCTCCGCATACAGCTGGCGCCTCTCCCCACCGCAGGAGGCGGGCGTTGTCATTATCCCTCGCTTGCGGACGGCGAAACTGAGGCGTGGGGGACGGCGAGGCCTGGCAGCGTACGGGGCAGAGCTGGGGTTTGGAGCCAGGTTGTGCGGCCCCAGCGTCCAAGCTCGAGGCCGTCCGAGCTCACTTGCCTCCGCGAGACCTCTCTCCTGGGCTCTGCTCCAGACTGACCTCCCCAGAGCCCTCTGCTCCTGCCGACAAGCAGGTTAGAAACGGACCCCGACCTCCACCGTGGGAAGGGCCACCCCACACTCATCACACTCAGAGCCCTGAGGTCCGACGGGTGAGGGGCTTCGTCTGAGCCCCCACCCCCCCCCCCGGCCATGGCTCCCTGCGTCACTCCCGGCTGTGTCCCCAGAAAGCCCCCCGGAGCCACACGGAGGCACCGCCACACACGTGCAGAATCGGAATCACCAGGGTAAGGCCTGGCCTCTTTGGAGGCTCTTTATATTTGCATTTCTTTCCCTGATTCTGTGTGGCGATGTCCGTTTCTCCCCACACCAGCGGACCAGGTGGCTTATTTGGTTGGTGGCCCGGCCTCCGCTGGGCCGCGCTGGTGGAGGGACCGAGCTCTGCCTCAACATGGGGACGACGGGGTGTCCAGGCTCAGAGGGGCCTTGCATCTGTGCCGGCAACTGGCGAGCCACGCCAGGGCCACGCGGGCCAGGGTTCACCAGCAGCGACGTGGATTCTGGACTCCAGGGCTCTCCGTGGCTGTCCGTCCCGGGGTGGGGGGCGGTGACAGGGTTAATGTGGCATCCCCGGCTCCGGCCTGTGTAGCTCCAGCAGAGGGGACGGCAGGCAGCCACATCTGCGTTTTCTGTTGCCGCGTACTGTGCTCTCAGGAACCCCGCCTCCCAGGACGGTCAGGTCACCCCTGTGCTGACACAGAATGTGTGGGCTACCCCCTAAATGACTCTGGTGAAAGCGTCTTGGAGAAGGCGCCTTAGGAAGCTCATTAGACCTCCTCCACTTGCATCCACCCATGTGCCTCCTCACGGCCCCCCCCCCCTCCGGTCCTCGCCGTGTCACGCATTTGGGGTGCCCGGATGCACAGGCTCGCCATACGTCCCAGCAGCTGCCGACAGGCCTCCCTGTCCTGCCTGATCTGTACCCCATGGGTCTCAGCCGGAGACACGACCCTGAGTTACGAAACCCACAGTGTCTCCTTCAAACCAGGCTTCTCTCGGGCTCCAGAAAAGACCCGGACACTTTGGAGCGATTGGAGGCCCTTGGTGACTGCTCGGGCTCACTTCCCATCCACCCCTCCCTCACCCACTCCACGTCCCCTCCAGCCTCAGCTGGTCCCCCTTGCTTAAACCTCCACCCCAGACCAACAGCAAGTATGCCCCGTGGCCTTTCCCAGCCCCCTTTCTTACCCTCAGCTCTGGGCTCCAGCATCAGCCCGCTGGGAACCCCCTCCTCCACCCCCAGCCAGGGTCCCGAATGCCACATGCGCCCCCCTGCGCTGTGGCAGCCTCGTCCCCAGGGCCATGGCTCCATGAGGCAGGAATGTGGTTTCCCCCAACACCCCAGCACCCAGGGCTCACGCATCCGGGCACCCCAAATGGTCCTGCCTCAGCGAGTGAAGGCCGCAGGTGCGAAGGCTTCTCCCCGTAAAACAGGGCTACTCTCTGCGGGGGAAGATACACACCTGATGGGCTGTTCAAGTTTGTTTCCAGAGCCGCGTTTTTGAAACAACAAAGACACCACCGAATGGTAGGATTCCTGGTTTCCTTGGCCGTGTGCTGAGTTTGCTCGGACGGGGCACTCTGGGGACGTGGGGTCATCCTTCTCCACATTTGGGGTAAGAGTGCCCCAGGTGTGGGGGATTTCCGGTCTCCGGCTCCATTCGGCCTCGGGGCACGTGAGTCAGGTTCCCCACACTGCCTGCCGGGCTTCCTCCTTCCCTGTGTTCGCGGCCCTGCTGTTCCCGCCGCTGTGGGGACGAGGGCGTCCCTTCCGCTCAGGGCTATCTCGGCTCTCCTGGGGTTGATCTGGGAGACGGTCGCCATCCCTGCCAAACCCCCAATCCTCCCCGCTCGGGTGAGTTCCCGCCTGTGCCCTTCTCGCGCGCCGAGGGTGGAACATAAGCCGTAATCCCCGGCTCCAGGGGTATCGTTGGTGCCCTGCCATCCCGGCCCGGTCCCCGTGTCACGCCTTTGAAGCGTCACTGAGTCTCTACCAGCTTTCAGATGACACTTCAGTTACACCTTTTCTTACTGCCACCGGCGGTCTCTGAGTCGACACGTTGGCCGCCCGAGGCCTCTTTGGAGGACGACGTCCCCCGGGTGGCCTTCCGGCTTCCGCAGACGGCACCTGCACCCGCAGATCGATGGGGTCCACGGCGCGGTCTCCCCCTTGCTGGGCGCGCCCGCACAGTGCTCCTGTCGCCGTTCCCTGTCTCCTCTCCTTGCCCTCTGAGTCCCCCCGGCAGGGGAGGGCGGCCCCCCCACGGGCGCCAGCTGCTGTCCCACGTCTGTTTTCCAATTGTGGAAGAACTCACGTACCGTGAAATGTTGCCGTTTTAACCATTTTGGGGCAGTACAGTTTTGTGGCTCTCAGTACACTCGTGTGCAACCATTCCCACCATCCTTCTCCAGAACTTTCTCAGCTCCCGAACAGAAACTCCGTCCCCACTGGACACCGACTCCCCACCCCCTTCCCCAGCTGCCAGTGCCCACCGTCTACTTTCTGTGTCCATGGGTCTGACCATTGTCCGTTCCTCACAGAAATGGATTCATAGTGCGTGTAGTTTATGCAGCTGGCTTGTTTCATTCGGCATAATGTCCGCCGGGTGCCTCCAGGGGTCAGGGTTTCCTTCCTTTTTATGGCTGAATAATACTCCGCGGTGTGGATGGACCACGTTTTGCTTATGCATTCATCTGTTGATGGACACTTGGGTGGCTCCCAGCTTTTCTTTTCATTTCATTTCATTTCATTTCATTTCACTTCACTTCACTTCACTTCACTTCACTTCACTTCATTTCGTTCTATTCTATTCTATCTTTGACAGAGAGCATGTGGGTGGGGGAGAAGCAAAGAGAGAGAGGGAGAGAGAATCCCAAGCAGGACTCGAACTCGTGAACCGTGAGATCATGACCTGAGCTGAAACCAAGAGTCGGACTGAGCCACCCAGACCCCCCGTTTCCACCTTTTTGGGTATTGTGAATAGCGCTGCTGTGGACATAGGTGTATAAATACCTGTTTGAGTTCCTGCTTTCAACCTTGGGGGGGGGGTTGTAGACCCAGAAGTGGGGTTGCTGGGCCACACGGCGGCTTTGCGTAAGCAGCTGGGCTTTGCCCGACCGTTTCCCAGAGCTCCGCTTCCTCCCCGACCTCGCCAACACGTGGTACCTCCCACCTTGCAGATAGCAGCCATCGTCCCCACGGGGCTGCCGTGGCGTCTTGCTGTGGCTTTGTGTCCGATGGGGCTTTAAACCTCCAGCCTCAAAGCCCGCCGTGTGCCTTCTGCTAAAACACCTCGTTGAAGTACTTTCCCCCTCACCTCCCCTCCTGACGTGTCAAGGAGGCAGTTTAAGGACAATGTGGTCCTGCTCGTGCCAGAAGCTACGTGTTGTTGTGTGGAAACGGGAATCCGGGTCCGCCCCGGGGACTCGCCGGGCCGCTCCCTCGGCTCGTGATGCTAACGAGAGCGCCGCCCCGGCCACAGCAGATACAATTCCCCCACCTCACAGACCAGGACACTGAATCTTGCAAGGGAAACCTTCGCACCCTTCAGTGCCCCCATCCTCAAGGAGGCGTGTCTTTCCCTATTGCGTCCAAAGAGCTCCGCCATGGATATTCTGGAAGAGTCTCATCGGGAGGCCATTTGCCTGGCCAGTGGAGCAGGTCCCCAAGGCCCCGGTGGGGGTTCCCGTCTCTCTCCTGCCCTCCCGTCGGGATACAGCACGGGACCTACCAAGACGGGCAGGGTGCGAGCCACCCCGGGTGTGGGGCAGGGCAGGGTGGGGATTGAAAGGGCTTCTGCCAGGTTTATAGAGATGAGTCGGGGGCGGGGGGCATGAAGAGACAGGGGTCCCGTGAGGATGAGGCTTGGATTCCGCCCCTCCTGTGCCCCAGCCCTTCCCTGCTCCCTCACGCTGCGTAGAGGTGAGTAGAGGCGGAGGCCCTGGCCAGGCCCCGCGCCATCCACCGAGCTGCCCGTCCTTCTTCTCTGACCTCGTTTCCTGGCTCTCCCCTCACTCACTCTGCTCCGGCCCGAATGTGTCCTCGTCACCGCGCGCTGTCTCAGGGCCTTTGCCCTGGCCGTGCCTCCTCCCGGAACACTTCTCCTACTCATCCAGCCTTAGGTCTTCACTCCAGTGTCACCTTCTCTGACCTGGACTGAGTATTGCCGCCCCTCCCCCCGTGCTCTCCACCCCTGCTTTCTTTTCCCGGGTGGCAGACGACGATGCCATCTAGCACACTATATGCCTCCTCACTTATTTCTTTGGAGGTCTGTCCCCGCTTCCAGCGTGAGTTCTATGTGGGCAGGCATTTTCACGTGTGCTTTGTGCTATGCTGTATGCCCAGCACTTCCAGGAGTGACTGGCCCGTAGTACATGCTCAGTGAATATTTGACAAATAAGCTCTAAGCACAAAGAACAGTACAGAGAGTCGTAGAAATGTGAACCGTTTGGTGTATTCAGGGACTGCTGTGCGGTTCCTTGGGCTGAGATTAATGTTCAGGGCTACCCCCATACAGTTGTTCAGGGTGTGTACTATACAAGGATGCCAAGCTCAAGAGGCCAGTGGGGTGGATTCCAGCCTACCCAAGCTTATCAGGATGCACACATACAAAGCTGCCTAGAAGAGGTGATTTTCTGACAGGCACGAGCATTACGTGGGCTAATGGTGGCCTTGAACACAGGAGATGGACATCAGGACACAAGCAGGGTAGACAAAAGAGGTGAGTCACGAAGGGCTTCATGCTGGCCATGAGGTGGAGGTGGCCGCAGATGCTTGTGACGCCTGCGAGCCACCCTTTCAGCCGCCTGATTTCAGCACCCTTGTCATGGGCAGCTCCTGGCACTCCCCAGCATCCCACATCTCTCCACTTTGCTATCTCCAGCCCAGGGAAGGCCCCTCAGCTGCCCGGAAGTGCAGGGCAGTTAAAGTCCCAGGGTTAACCCTCAGCCAGTGGGGCAGGGGTGAGTGGTTGGATGCCAGGCCCCCCAGACAATTCGCAGTGGCCCCGACAGTGACCGTTCCTGAGTGCGCTCTGCTCAGTTTCCTCTTCTCTCGTCTCACTCCCCTGCTCCCTCCTGCTTCCTGGCCCCATCCTCCAAACAAACCACCCATACCAAGTCCTTGTCTCAGGCTCTGCTTTCAGAAAACCCAAACTAAGACAGAGCCATTAAAGCTTATTTCAGAGATGAGTAGCAGGATCGATTTTTTTCACCCAGAAGGATCACC